CACGAGTAAGAGTCGGCGTAATACTTGCGGTCCCTCTCGTCCGCCAAGAAGTGATGACCAATTGCTTTGACCATTGCGTGCAAACACGTGTCAACACTCAACTTGGGATCAGTTGTGTTCACGTCGGGACCCAACTGTCAATACAATAATCACAGTTAGACACCATTCATGTCAAGCATAGGCCATATATTGGGCTCATTTGTGGTCAATAGTGGCCTCATATGTCATTACCAGATGTCATCCAAATAGACACAAACATCACCATTAAGTAGGTCTCTGTCTTACTGTTCACTGCAATCACTATACTCTATGTCTAACAATAGACACAAACATCTGTTCACTCACTCTGTGTTCATGAGTATGACAAGTGAACCAAAACCAGTCCAAAAAAAGTTTGCATTCAATGCAAACACTTTTCTTAACTTCACAAAACTTATAAAATAAGATACTGTACACAATTTGTATTTAATACAGTATTGTACATTGGTGCTTTTGTCAAACTTTTGGTCACATTTTCCATAAACTTAACATTTATATAGATCTCCCATAGAACTAACATGAATCAATATGAAATGTTAGTACTCTTTCACTTAGACTTTAATTGATCTTATGAACACATTTTCCAATAGAAGTAATATGGGGATTTGATGTATTTTACACTATAGACTTAACGTTTTGAAAACAATTAGAATTTTCTTATGATATAGACTTAACATGAGGTTTTGAGCACTTAACGATTTTTAAAATTCCTATAGATTTAACATAAAAACGTTTTTTTGAGCAATGGCCAGCAGTGAATACAACTACAGTAATGGGATTTTTAAAAACTTGTGGCATAAGAATCATGCACAGTCAGTTTACTTAACTTGTCCATAGGTTTAACAGGGGACTGAGAACAAGGGTTATGTTATTTCATTGTTATGTCTTTCATGTTATTATTATACATCATGAAACTTAATTTTTAATTTTTCTGGGATTTTCCATAGAAATAACAAAGTCTTGATGCTTTTTGCGACCTAATCTCCCCCATGTTAAGTCTATAGGATTGTATGATTTAGGTGTCATATCATAAAATAACGGGAAGAGGGTGGACTCGTTATTGCATACAATGTATATTCAGTTATGCACCCATTTTGAGTACCGGAATAATTGACAATACAATACAATTCAGACAATAATTGAATTGAAGTTGTGATGAGTTTGTGACACAGAATATGAATATAATTGTCGTAAACGTAAAGCCTGTAGACCTGAGAGACGGCGCTGTCTATGCTTTGCAGTGAATAACTGAATGACTGATTGACTGATCAGTGTTTGTAAGCTTTGGTCGACAGCTGTAAACAACCCATTGATTGAGTGTTTGATTTAACGGACAATTCATTGCTTTTATAATCATATGATTAATGACTCAAAACAATAACCCATTAGAAGTGGCCAAACATATTGTCGATCACTTGTATGACTTCAGAGACAACTATTTCATC